ACCAAATAAAAGCAACGGAAAAAAAATATAATAACCTTAATTAACATCACCATGTTGCTTCTTGATCCTATGAGTACTACTCTGCATGGACAAAACCTTCTTCACAACTTTGATGAACACGAAAATGATTGGTTTCTTACCGGAAAAAATATGCCCGCCGGCAGTCAACAGTCTCAACGGCTTCCGGCAGCTAATTTGCAACCCTTTCTCCGGTGAAGGGCAGCCATTATAATCACTATTTCTCGAGCACTCGTCGTTCAAATTCTCCCACAACACATCCATTTTCTCCTCTTCATCTTTGCGAAAATTGTCGATTTTCTTGAACTCTAGAGATGAGTCTTCTTCTAAATTGGCCATGAGTTATTTTTCTTGAGCTTGGTAATGAAGTCTAATTGTGAATGTGTGATGATTTTAGTTCAACAGCTACAACTTGTGGGCACTAAATATAAGTGATGATAACTTGATAAGTAAATAACTTCTTAATGTGAAATTATAACTTGGCCCCCCCAAAGAACTTTAGAGAGTGTGAAGGTGATGTTAATGATTGATGGGAGATTTTATGGTTGTGTGTTTTGGTGTTTTCAGTCCCATGTTAAGAGTTTCAAACACTTTTTAATTTTATTCATAGGAAAAACCTTGACTTTGGAACACTCATTTGAGATTTGATGAATTGGATCAGAATGAGATTTTTTTTTTTTTGAATTGTATATTCAATGATTTGATTACTTAAAATAATAATATCTACATTCTAGGGTTGTTTTGACAATAATGTTTTCTTGAATTGTATATTCAATGATTTGATTAATTAAAGTAATAACATCTACATGCTAGGGTTGTTTTGACAATAATGTTGTTGTATAAAGTATATTAGTTGTTTTCACCAACAAATAGTATCTATATATATATAATTACTAGCTAATAGCATTAAATAAAACCTATTTAATTTTACCTATGTGGCAATTTAATAATTTTCCCTCCAAAAACCGTTACATTTTGATGTATTTAATCTTTCATTTAATCATTAAATAATTAATACTCATCACTTCAAAATTACAAAAATCATTTTAAACTTTTGATTAATGACAGTTGCCCATATAATGTGTTGACCGTATAATGTGATTAGATGTTATTATTGTTGTTACATTTAATTTTTTTTTTTAAATAAAAAATATATTTGAAATTCCTAAATAAATAATAAATAATCTATATATATATATATATAATTACTAGCTAATAGCATTTAATAAAACCTATTTAATTTTACCTATGTGGCAATTTAACAATTTTCCCTCTAAAAACCGTTACATTTTGATGTATTTAATCTTTCATTTATCATTAAATAATTAATACTCATCACTTCAAAATTACAAAAATCATTTTAAACTTTTGATTAATGACAGTTGACCATATAATGTGTTGACCGTATAATGTGATTAGATGTTATTATTGTTGTTACATTTAATTTTTTTTTTTGAAAATAAAAAATATATTTGAAATTCCTAAATAAATAATAAATAATTCACAAATAAAAGACGTACCAAAATATACATTACATCCAATTAGATAAGTGCAATTTAAAAAAAAAATATTCCAACTCTTTTAATTGTAAATTTTGTCTGCAAAAAAGTGAAAGAAAAATAATTAATCATTATATGCATACAGACTCACAATAATTTATTTATATCTGTGCAAATGCACAGGTTGAATACTAGTTGGATTATAAAAGGTGCAACTGATTGGTGAATATTATTAGTACAAAATACAATATATGATCACGAATTTATTACTTGAGTTCTAGACTAGTAACATATTTATACACATATATATTTAGCAAAAAAATATGTAATTATTTTTTAAATTATTAGAGTAACTTGAGATAATTTATTGGTTTAAATAAAGCATGTATATTAAATTGATAAGTATTTTATATACCTCTACTTTTAAATAATACGAATTGTTATTTTCATACAGGCACTGTACTAACGGAAATCAAATTTGATATTATTAAGTAGGTCCAAAATTAAATTGTCATATTTATTATAATTGAAACAAATAAGGAAACAATAATAGTTAAAATATAAAAAAGTGACCAGATAAAAATAATTTCCGAACATAAATAATTACATTNTGACTGAAATATTGATTCTTTGTTATCTATCAAATAAATATTTATATAATGTGTGTGAAAGAAAGCATCTGGATATTGAATTACTGATCTTATACTGTACCTTGTAAGCTTTTTTTCATCCCACAGAGAAAATATTTCGAAAAGCTTTATATATACACACTCATATCATATTCAAGCCCCATTGCATCATTTACTTTCAGCTACAGCAATGTATTTTCACAGAGTCACATTACTCTTCGACAAGACGACAGCAAAATTTTCTGACACGCAAAAACAAAGAAAACAAAGCATCGAACTCATTGTCGCGAATCTAACAGGAAAAACGAACACAGAACAAACTTCTGAAGCAAGAGAGCTACGAAATTCACCTTAGAAGATGGGGGAATTTTTAACCCGACAAAATCGCACAAGACCAGCTAATATAGTATTTTCCTCAAGCATTTAGGGTCTCGACGGTTTTTGCTGTCCAAGAACATTGGGTTAGCGACTCTTCTACAAAAGTCATTTAGGGAGTTTAAATAAATAGCCAAAATTTCTCGAAATGAGATGAATCTTAAAGAGTCAAATCCTTTGGATCCTCAATTATCTTAGACAAGGTTTGCAAGAATGCTGCCAGATCAGCACCGTATATCACGCGATGATCTGCAGTAACATTTACCTGGCAATATAAACAAAGCACCATAATTCTTTTTGTACTAACTTCAATTATCTTTCAGAATTTCAACTACACCTTTATAAGATATTTCAAATTTGTAATTTTGAAAGANGAGCATACCTGCATTTGAGTTTTCAATCCAATTCGGCCATCCTTAGTACCAACAAGAGTAGGTTGAGAAGAACCAACAGCCATAATTGCACCCTGTGAAAAAATTGAATAAATTCCTCTTTTTGGCAACACATCTTTAACAATAATAATTCGTTTTGGTCTACAAGCTATATACTTACAGTTCGTGGTGGCAAGATAGCATCAAAACGGTCTACACCAAACATTCCAAGGTTAGACAGAGTAAACGTGCCTAAAGCAATAAAATAAAACACGCAATTAGCAATTAATGCAATAGACGAAACTTGCAAACAATATTGATTTGCATTAATTGTTGTAGAAGCAAATTGCATATTACCTGTAGTGTACTCATTAGGTTGAAGCTGCTTTGCTCATGCCTTATCGACTAATTCCTTCCACTTTCTCGATAACGAGTATATTTCAGTCTAAGAGAAAAATGAGAAAAAAACGAACTACTGTTACAATCCAACAGATGAAGGCTAAGAGGAAGAAAAAAATAAAAAACCATTAAAACAGAATTGAGAAAACCTTGATGAATGGTCCAAAACCTTGTCAGCATCTTGAAGAACTGGTGTAATCAACCCACCATCAATGGCTACTACAACTGCAATGTTGATATGGGTGTTATACGTGAAGCTCTTACCATCTCTGCAGCTAGAGTTCACAACGGGATAAAATCAGAGCAAGAGCTGCTGCCTTGGCTAGTAAAGCTGTCATGGTCACTCCTTTAGACTTAATCTGTATGAGTNTCTCTCCCTCACTTATCCCATAACACTGAATACAAACCTCCAATAAAGGTTAATACCGAACCATTGTTTTCAATTCACGCGTGCAAATTTTAGCTACCGCTAAAGGGTCCATGATGATAGTCGATAGATCATTCGTTGGGATATCGATACAGCAGATAAAAGTATTAAACACATATCTACAAATTCTGAAATATTTAACCAAAGACTTGAGAGTACTAATCTTCCAGATACCTAATCCACATGATCAATTTCAAATGTTAACTACTCAAAACCAAAAAGTTCCAATCTTTATACAAAAACTAACCACAACCCAACAAATCCTTAAAATTAAAAGTAATGTACAATATTACACATACAAAATTACATGTCTTTCTGCAATTCACTAAATCCAACAGCACATCGAGGTGAAATCACAGCGAATCATATTGCAATGGGGATACTTTAACTTACAAATTGTGATGACTTGATATGCACCCGAGTTGTTCCATTTAAGGCTCGACCGACATAGGCCATTTTCTGTCCACTCCAGGCCTTGTAACTGCCAAAGATGATACATATCATTTAGTAGAAAGCCCACAAGAAACAAGACATACGTCGTAAGGAATATGGAAAGTGAGCTTATAATTCGACCCTCATAGAAATGAATAATCAATCAAAACATATAAATGAACGGAATCAGGCTCCTTCATATACATAATATAGAGATAATTCGGTTTCAGAAGATTCTCTTGTTTTTCGGGTTAGTTGTGTTTTTAGGTGAACAGGGAACTACAAAAGAAAACCACACAATGATGTCAGGGTTATTTAATTAACTTTGGGCTTACAATACAGAAAATTGCATCATCTGTTCTGCATAAATTAAAATACACCAGTTTGTCTGCGGGGCTCCTCCCCTGATTATAGGTAAGCCACTATTATTACTAAGTCATAAAGAGAAACAGAAATTAAGCAGTAATAAGACTGCACATGACACACCAGCATAGTGGAAACGAGAACTATTATAGGATGATCAACCAACCAGTGCTTACCTCACAAAGTTCTGATAGTACCAAAAATAGTTCCTATGTTAGTTATATAGCACAAACACAAACTAACATATCAAACACACACAAACCAGATTTTGATGTACATGTTTCTAGGAATAACCAAAATAAAGAAAAAAGTTCTAAAATATATCTTACCTCAGCCACAGACAAAGGATGACACAATATCGCATCCCTCGAACTCTCATACCCTTCTTCAGCTTCATTCGTCTGCTTTAGCCTATAATAAAATACAACCAAACAGAAGAAATAAAAGAATACGTTGGAGATTATAAATTTCACCGAACAACACGCAGCAATACATTTCACCCATTGTCACCCATTCATTTCGAAACAAAAGCAGTTTCAGTCCCTAGGAACAATTACGCAACAATAAAGTTCACCAATTCATTTCCAACAAACAGCACCGATCTTTTGTACAGATTATTTACTCAACCATGTCACTAGTTAAACTAAAATAAATGTCCACTTAGATATTCCCCGTAGCAGGTTCCTCGAGCAGCTTGGACAGAGCGGCCATGCGGGCTTCCTTCTACCTCGAGCGGAACTCGCTGAAGATCTTGATGAGATCCACAACTGAGTTTATCAGCTTGATCGTGTGGACATCTTTTCCCTTCACGCAGAACGCAGCTAACACTACTGCTGCCCCAACAAGTGCTCCAGCTTGTAAGAGAGACCAAACAGCCGTGTCTTGGTCAACATCGATTATGAAGATGTTGTCTGCATCAGCCTAGCCAACAACTCAATCACCCTAGCTGCAACATTCGCCGCCATTTCTGAGTCCAACTTCACCTTCAGCGTGTCCGGAGCAAGTCTTTGAGCGGCGACGAGTGCCGCCACGGCGTCCTCCTCAGTCCTCACCACAAAAGGCCTAAAAAACAAATAAAAAACATAAATGCCACGAAAATTAAATATATTTCAACCCTAATTTGTACCGAACTTACATTCTGTGGGTTGTGGAGATGAACGGAACCAAGAACGAGATGATCGAAACTCTCTCTTCGCCTCAAATCAAATGACAGCTCAGTCACTTCTAAACCTAGCTTTTGAAAACCTTTTTTTTATTTGACAATTATACCCTCACGTTTTTTTTCTAGAATAATTAAAAACTTTCTTAACAAATCACACAACATCATAGTTTCTAAATGTAATCGACGCGGACAAGTCTCCTTCAACCGTGAACCGTCGGGTCATCGAGTTTAACAGTATAATTAATTTTAAAATTTTTAAAATAAAATATAGATTAGTTTTGTCATATAGATTAGTTTTGTGTATAAAATTTGTACATTAAAATTTAAATAATATGTATTTCATAATAAATATTTATCATATAAATATATATACATAGTTTTATTTTTAAAAAATAAAAAAATATAAAAAAAACTAAAAAAATATATATGAACCGGGTCAAGGTCGGGCTTGACCGGGTCCTTTGTTGCCGGGTCGAAATAACTCAGTTGGACCGGTTCCAACTCCGGGTCCCGGGTCGATAAAACGGTGAACTTTATCTTCAGACAAGAACGCAAGCATTAAAGTCCAGCAATAATGATTCTTGGGATAGCCAAAAAAGTTGGTTCTTTATGCAATCAAAATTCAATCTTTGCACGACTAAAAACAAAAAACAAACTCATTTGGACAAGGAGGATGCTAATCCAGTGTACTTTTTCCGCTCCTTTGCAGCACTGTGAAAGCTCGGCCATTTTTGTCCAAAATTTGAAGCCCAGAAACAAAAATCAGTGCCCCATTTCATGTTCTTTTTCCCTTTTTCAGAGTAACAATCTGAAATGTCTAAGTTCGCAAAAGCCCACAAAGCGGATACTAAGAGTCCCCAAATTTTCCATTCAGGTATTCTTGAAGCTTTGTTCTTTACGTAAATTCTCATTGATTTTTTATGGCTTGTGAACTTAGATTAGTTTTGAGGATAATTACTACTGCAGTGAACTAAGAGTCCCCAAATTTTCCATTCAGGTATTCTTGCAGCTTTGTTCTTTATGTAAATTCTCATTGATTTTTTTTTTTTTTNTGAACTTAGTCTGTTGTTTAAGTTAGTTTTGAGGATAATTACTACTGCAGTGAACTCGATTGGGTGCTTGATTAATTCTATATCCTAAAAAGAAAAAAAAAATGCTTAATTCATTCAGGGGAATTTGTACATGGATCATATTACATTAATCGGACCTGTGCGGATCAATTATCTATATGCATAAGAGAATATGAAACACCAAGCATTGTTTTCCTTCAACTAAGACCTTCAAGCACAGTAGATTTAGTGTATTATCATTGTCAAATGTTAACATTCTTCATTAGGATTTACTAAAGAATTTTTATGACTTGACGATGGCTTATCTTGGTTTTTGTCGAACATAGGTACTTGAAAAGGAAAACCGGAGTTATTCATCCTTGACCGTGACAAAAGATGAAGGTAATCAAATCAAGTTTGTGCATGTAAATCTCCATATTTATGTTCTCTCTTGGAAAAGATGTAAAGCTCTTACCTTTTCATATATATTTTAATATTAACTAGAAATGTAGAATCCTTCTGTTTGAGTTATGGTTATATGATTTTGAATTCTGTCATTATATGATTTCAGAATCCTTGTGGAATTTATCAGTCGGTGGGGATTTGAAAAAAGTCAAAGGATCTCATATTTTTGTCTATTATACCGTTTTGTGTTCTTCGCTTTCGTGGTGGACACCTGTTCAAGTGGCGCTGGCAAGTGAAGATGTTAAAACGAACGTGATATATGAGGTAGCCGAATTGTTTGAATTGGGGATTCAGCTTTCGTACCTACTTTTACTTCTGGCTTTGCTTGGTGTTGGGACCTTCTTCGTTATTCGTCAAGTCCTAGTCCGGAGAGAGCTCGATCTTTCGGCAAAAGAATTACAAGTAAGTTCTTGAAATTTTTATTACACTGAGAAATGGTTCTTAGATTATCACGATATCACTAAATTTCCCGTTGTGTTAGTCTAATTGCAGAGAACTTCAGTTATCATTCAGAAATAGAAAATGCCCTCTTGATGTGTTATAGATACTTGCGAAAAAAAAAAGTGTGATAGATACTCCCTTTAAATAGTGTTTGCATTACAATTTGCTCGTCACATTAGGTGAAAACACATGTCAAGAGTATTTGTATATAAAGAAGATAACTAGTTCTTTTTGGAATTCAAATAAATATCAAGGAGAGTGTTCATAATCATACCTTTCATTTTAAATATCCACAAATTCCAGCTATGAAGTGAAAGTCACTTTATTTGAGTCTTTTTCGAGTCGAACCGAGACCCTTTTGAAATTTATGATGGTGTGTGAGAATTATGGGACCTATTACATAACTGTCGAANATTATAGATAAAGTAAAAGAATCAGCAAACTGATTTATCAATCCATCGGACTGTTAATGAGCGTGTTTTCTCTCTCTCGTTGGTTATTATTATGCAGGAGCAAGTAAGAAGTGGGGATGCTAGTGCAACAGAACTATTCGAACTTGGAGCTGTCATGTTGAGAAGAAAGTTTTATCCTGCTGCCACCAAATATCTTCTTCAAGCCATCGATAAATGGGATGGGGATGATCAAGATCTTGCTCAAGTAATTCGAAAGTTAGAAAGTCGAACGAAAAAAAAAATACAAAATTGATAATTAAATTTAAACAACTCTAAAGGTTTACATGCAGCCAATTTGACGTTTGTACTTAATTTTTTTTTCATGCAGCCAATTTGACTTATGTACTTAATTTTTTATTTTTATTTTTTCTCTAGGTTTACAATGCACTCGGTGTAAGTTACATTCGTGATGGAAAAGTCGAAAAGGGCATAGCCCAGCTGGAAAATGCCGTCAAACTTCAACCGGGCTACGTGACAGCCTGGAACAATCTAGGGGATGCATATGAGAAAACCAAAGACCTAAAATCTGCTCTGAGGGCATTTGAGGAAGTTCTGCTTTTCGATCCTAACAACAAGTTAGCTCGTCCGAGAAGGGATGCTCTCAAGGACCAAGTGGAAATGTACAAAGGAGTCCCCATCAAATCGAGAAAGAAATAGAAGACCCGGACTTTGGGTTTCGGCTTATCAGAATTTTTTTCTTGATTTGTAATTTCTAGCCACTCGGAGTCGGGTACATTTTTCCAGTTTTGGCCATGCAGCATTTGGCAGAAGAAATGAACATTCTGTGAAGGAGGATAATTAAAATTGTTATTAGTTTATTGGTTCTTGTATATTTTGAAGCCTTTTGTTAATTGTTATGCCATCCCTAGTTGCACCTCAGAATATATTTATTTTAGACCATATTTAATTCCCATAAAAAAATAAAAAAAAAAAAACTAAATTTTAGGAAGAGATAATTTTAAGTTTGCAATTCTAGTCTACTTCTAATTTGTTTACAAGCAAGTAAATATTTCTGTAAGTTACTCTTCAGACATAACTACTGAACAAATTAAAATTTTGAAGTATTCTGCAGAAACTGTCAGCTTCTTCTAGCTTGAACAACTTTTACTGGGGACTTATTAGTATAACCACACTGAAAACAGTTGACCCCAATGAGAAATAAGAAAGAGTATATGGGGGAGAAAAAGGTTAAAAAAGAAAATTAGACATCAAAGAAAATGAAAAGTGATGATATATATGAAATAATGAATTGACAGAAGCTGAGACAGCTTCCTCTTTAAATGCAGCAAAAGAAACTGAAATTATATAGCTTCAATGTTAAGAACATCATATTTTCAGTTAAAACCATATTATTTTCTACAGCAAGACAGTGAGTTTAGCTAGCTGACTAGTCTGATCTGCCTGAAACTGGAGTTATGCTTAAGTATGAGCTTCAAGCCCTTCACACCACCACTTTCACTCGATTTCGTCACTTTTTTTGAAGGGCTCGGATAATATTTCTCCTTGAGCACAGTATCATCCTCACACGTCCAAGTATGTCCGAAAGGGGAACAGTTGGTGAACAAAAACCGAGCCGAAAACGGGTTCACAAGACTCCTACGAAACTCCCGAGCTGTCTCGCACAATACACCCTGCACAAAAAAATATGACAACAACCATTAATTACACTATAGTCTATAATGTAATAATCTACCAATTCATTACCTGTTCAAAGTGATATCTTATTAAGGGTGAATAACCAAAATAACAGAAAGTAGCCAAGTACCTTAAACTTTACTTTAGCTATTGTTCTTTGTTTCTTTTAAGGAACAAAGCAGTGTTGTTTATGGAAACTTAAAAGTTCAAAGGAGTATTTTGTAATTCTGAAAGATGACCCTCTCAAAAGTTTATATTTTTATTGCCAAAAAGCCCCATTCTTTTCAAAATTGCTAATACCAACACTGGTTCTTTTAAACCCACAAAGCGGTATTTGCTAACAATAACAAAATTTTTCTTCGGAGTTTTGGTTATATTTTCTTCTAACCTCTGCCATGGCCTTGATCTTCAGAGTAAGATCATCCGAGAGAAGTACAATTTGTCCATCTTTCCTAATCTTCCTGCAGCAAAGCGCGTAATCAAGAATGTGGTCCCCAGCAGTCGGGGTCACGATTTCCTGCAGCAAGCTACACGGGGAAAATGGAGTCGACGAGCCAATGGAATTCACCCACCTGTCCTCACTGAACCAATGAGGAGAAGTAGAGGCAGGTGGGGTCGGTGGCAAAAGCCCGATTTCCTCGGCTGAGCTCTGCACGTGAATCCACCATTTAGCCACTGTCATGCTTTCCTTAATAAATTGCAATGCTTCGTAAATCTCCCGAGTTCTTGTGAAGAAACTTGCACGTCTTAGCATGCAGTCGAGTTCTCTCACAACT